CTGAAATTTTAGGCTTGCGACTGACTAGTCCTCCAGGAAACAGCTCCGGCCCCTCAGACACTGCCTCCAATTAAATCGCGGTAGCCACACAATGGTTCTCAGGTACTTAATACCCTCAACTACCGCGCACAAGGAGTCGATCCCCAAGTGATCGCTCGTTGGCCCTCCCAGCTCCAAGTTGGCCCCACCTATCCAGCCGCTGGTTCCCACCGAAGTGATCGCTCGCTGGCCCCCCCAACTTCATGCTGGCCCCACCTATCCAGCCGCTGGTTCCTACCGAGTTTCAGCCTCCCACACTGCCGCTTCTAGTCCTCAGTATTAATTGTTCCACCATTGCGCTCCAGGGGGCTCATGTCAAGGGTGCCTCACTCTTACAACTAGGCCAAGAGGTCATTGGCGTTGATTCGCAACAACTATTTCTTTATTTTATATTTATTTAATTTTGGTGGTGGTCCATCATGTCACAATACAAAATTACTTAGAGCTCGTTTGTTAAGGGAGATTAGATAGGATAAGCCAAGATATCTATACCCTTAATCTTGTATTTGTTACTCACGATTCTGGCCCGCATGACATGACACGGCCCGCGATGCACAGTGCTTTTATCGTGCATATCCCCGAGAAATGTGTCTGGGCTGAGGGGGTGCGATTATAACACGTCTGAACAGTGTTTCATATAGAAATGACTCTATTGCCCCTCAATTTACCACTATATAGTTCATTTCTACAAGTGCAAGCTTGCAACCATCGCCATACTCGAAAATTTTCGACAGATCTCGCACCTCCATCTCCACCGCCACGTTCTCCAGCCTCCCAGTGCCGGTGCCACCCTTCACCCCTAGATATGTGACCTCTAACTCCTCCTCAAAAAGATTGGAGAATTGCGTGATGCCGTGGACGACGATGGGGTCCATCACCTGGTGCTCTGCAGCCATGATAAGGTTCCCGGCGAAGATCCCCGTGCAGTGCAGGTACTCCGAGCTAGATGCGGACCAAAAATTTTGGGTGAAGATTTTTATCACCTCTGCAAGGTTTTAATGGGTACAAATTGGGAGAGGAAAAAAAATTGGCAAACAAAGTTTGAAATTGAATGCAACNGAGATTGGAAGGCCATGTTGCAAAGAAAGCGGTGCAGATGTCTGTAGAAGGAAAAAATGGAAGGCAACGATAAAAAACTTTATCAGAAAGGAGGGCTAAAAAAATGAAAAAATAAAGGAAGAGGAAAAATAATAATTGAAAGTGATAAGGGCAAAGCTGACAATACACAATTATATCTAATTAGTTATCTAGAGAAACAAACATTTTGGTGAGTACAACACTATCTTATCCGAATTAACAATCACTCGTAACAAATGTGAGTTTACTTTTATCTACACAGTACAATCTACCCTTCCTATATTAATTTAATCTAATCTCATCATAGGAAACAAATGAGCTCTTATGGTCTTAAATTGAGAACTAATATAAAAGTTAGTGTTTAGTGTAGAATAAGTGTTGACATCTGAGTTGGAAAGTAAGAGACCAAAGTTTAATACCTCGAATAAAACAAAGTTTAAAGAATTCTCGAGAGCAGAGCTTCCAACTCGGCTCCCTTCAACTCGACGCCTAGGTCCGCGCTCGAACGGCGGGTGGTCCGAGCCTGGAGATATACAGAGACAACAGAAATTGAGCAAGGCAAAAAGAAAGTCCGACATCAGGTACACAATAACTTGAGTTCCAAAGCGCACTCAAGAGTCAAGAAGTGATAAAATAGTGTCACTTGCAAGCCAATGATGATCAATGGTACGCGCTCATCAATCCTACAGACCGACGACTCAAAGACTCGTAGGGTGGAATGTTCTCATTAAAGGTCTGTCAATCAATATTAAATGACTGTAATCATCATTTGGGGCTAGTCAGGTCTCATTTAATGCCTGTCATTTCGATTTAGTGTACGATATATATGACATGATGAATAGTAGATGAACAGTAACCGAGAATGTTTAGCTATAAATAGTCATAGGATTTATTTATCGTAGATGTAGCGCCCCATTCGATTTATAGAATTTCTCGGGTTATTCTATTTATCGAAGTTTATTTATGAGATTATAATTATTGTATTGGTCGCAATGTCTACTCAAATTATATATTTAAGTACTCAATTGTTTTATTGTAAAACGTTCGTCGTTCGGCGAATTCGGTTTAATCGCGTAAATCGGATCTAACTCGTTCGGATATTGGATTTTTCCGAATTATTTTAATAAATGACATTTTATTTTATTATTTATATGCCTTGATTATGTACTTAAAATTATAGTATTATGTGGATAATATAATTATAATAGTCCCTCGATTTTATTTTATCGTTCGCCATTTGAATTTTCGGTTTAATTGCGTAAGCCGAATTGTAGTCCGTTTTATTTTATTTTCAAACCTTCGCGAACCAAACCTCGAACTGGCTCGTTCCAGCCATTATATGGTGGCCTTCGGCCCTTTCAATTGAATGAAAACCGGCCCTAGTCGAAGAACCGAATCTGCCCCCTTGTTTACCCTAATTTTGGAGATGTTTTGGATTTTTAAAATTCAAATTTGAAAAGGAGATAAAGAGGGATCTTGGACCATGTTAACCAGCCAAAATTCACGCCACTCACCCTCTTACTCGGTCAAAATTTGCCTATCTTTGTGCCTAAGGAATCTTCACTTAAGGAAGGTATACATCTCTCTCTTAAATCTCTCTTTATGATACACCATTCTTTCCTCAAAAATCCCTCTCATTCTTTTCCTCCTCCTCACGCCCAAGACCAGCAAATAAACCACTGAAGCATTCCCCCAAATCCATCGTCTTCCATCACCAACGCCGTCGAGCACGTGTTCGCGTGCGAAAGCCCCTTTCAGCCTCCTTCTCGTTCACTTCATGTGATTTTCCTTGGATGAACGGTATTGATGGCTTCAACTCTCTAATTTTATGTGTTTATGTTGGTTTGGGATGAATCCTATATGTTTTGATTTTATTGATGTTGATAATATATGAAATTATTGGAGATTCAAATGGTTTAATGGAGAAACCATTGATTCTCGACTTTGGATGTGGAATTCCTATGGAATATGGAACTTTGGAAGTCCTTGGACTAATAGTGAAGGCCTTGGTCTATTTTATTGAGTATTGAAGCCGTTTTGAATTTTTGAAGTCGATCATGCTGCTGTACTTTGTTAAAATCATCAAAAATCGTGTTGTTACCCAAAAATTCTGAAATTTTAATATGTTGTTCCTCTGATATGTGTTGTTATTGTATATAAATTTCATAACTTTTGGAATCGATTTTCTAGGGTAAATGTTTATTTGAAAGTTTTTGCTGAAACTTGTTTAAATCATGTAAGACCGGTCCCTTGCTGAAAATGGTTGAAATTTGGTTTACGTGCTCCTTTGATGTTGTATTATGTGATATATAAATCCGAGATTTTATTGAATTCATTATGATAGGTATTTAATGAAAATAGTCTTCCTGCTGTATCTTTCAATAATTATTATAAATTGTATGTTCGTTGTTTTTAGCTGAAAATTTTATATGTTGTACCTCGCATACTGAAATTGTTCGTGTCAAACTGTCAGGACTTAAATCGTTTGTTAGGTCAACTTTCAAATTCATGCTTGTTTTTGCTGAAATATTGTTTTAATTTTATAAAATTACATGTGTAAGTACTATAGCTGAAACTTGGTGGATTTAATATAGGCAGTGAGGTCTATTGTGTGTCCAATTTTCAAAACAAAATTCATCCATTTGCCTGTTCAACTAGAGAATGTGATTTACTTGTCAAATTTCTCAAAATACTAGTTAGATATGTTAACAGTTGAATGTTGGCATGATTTTTAATATATGATGTTCTATTTGCATGCTTTGTAATTGGTGTGAATTTCAAGTTAAGTGGTTGAGTAGATTGTGAGATGGCTTTTTGTATGTTTTTCCATTTTGGTTTGAGTCGAGTCGAATGTTTCATAACTCCACGAGAATATCCCACGAGCCACTTAGTCGACAAGTTCGACTAAGTTTGTGTGATCGTTGGATTTGTTGTAATCGAGAGGTTATCTTGTCTTCGTGTAGGTGTTTCGAGGTGTTGACCTCAAATCCCATCTTGTCGAGCCTTGTGTTCGTGATATATCGCTGCTTTCAGGTGGGTACCTTTACATTGTATCTATATTTATCGCACTCGTTATTTTGTGTACATGTTCCTCTCGATAGCTGTTGTATGTGTGAGAACCCTAGTCTAGGTGTCCCATCGATAATGCCTTTGATGAATGCATAAGCAGTGAGAGGTCGTCTGCCCGTTGCTAGTCGGGAGGTGGACGCCCTGATCCGTGTGTTATTCGGGAAGGAAAAATAGCTCCACTATCTCCTGGAAAGGATCCTTAGCCCGTGTCGAGTCGGGGTGAGAAGGTTTCCGGTTACTTTCTTGCCGATGACTGATCGGAAGGTTGTTGTATGTACATAGGAGGTTTGCTATAGGGCCGTGTAGGGAGTTTGGTAACGCAAAACACTCCGACTGGCTTGAAATCCGCTCGCCTTCCTCCTCCTCGCCGGTAGGACGCCGCGTACCTGCAAAGAACTCTTACACCGGGGGGTTTTTCCAGTGAAGAGCCTCCGATGCTTAAGTTAGTGTATATTTTACTCAATTCTCCAAAGTATAAAAATGGATAAATCATCAGTCGCAAGAAAGGCTCACTCTTATATATATAGGAGTGAGATACCTGCCTGGGAGCTGCCCGGATTTGATGAGTTGTCCTCCTAGCGCTGCCCGTCCGTACACACACAGTGTGCGTATGTCAGAGGTGGTTATCGCCACTATTGCTCTGCACCAATGTATTCTCACCACGTGCCCCTCTGAGTAGAGGGTGATTATTCTCCTCCATATTCCGTTGGGATTCTTTGACGAAGTCCACGCGCTTTCTCGCGTTCAAGCCACGCCCTCGATTGCTCTTCACCCGCCGAGTGCTCGATTTGACTGGGCCCCCCTTCGCTAGGTCGATCATCGACCAGATCTGTTATCCTGCTCGATTACTTCCTTTTAGTCGATTATTGCTCGACCACTGCGGCTTTCCTGATATCGAGTTCGTACGACTAACATGGTAAACCGGTTTATTCTTCAGGCATATAATATCCCTTATCATCTAGTCCCCTCACTCTGGTCGTGTCTGAATGACTCGATCTAAGAGTGAGCTTGTGTCTGTCTCTTTGAGCTGCTGGCCTCTCGATCTTCTGACTAAATCTGATTTTGTCCTTTGATCGCTTGACCGATGTCACTCCCACTCTTCGACCACTTGACCGATTTTATAGTGCATTCTCAGTCTCCCTTTATCTCTTTTTATTATTAATGCGGCTTTCGTCTGCCACGCATCCCATTTATTCATTACTTTTAATCATCGTGTCTCCTCGCGATTTGCGCCACTTCGCTATCCGTGTCCATTTAATTCTCCGAGCCGTTAGATCTCACTCTAATCCAACAGCTATCTTCATCAACTTTTCACCTTACCTTCCTCTGTACTCGCATAAATATCCAAACTTAGGCTTTTTTCGGCTTTTTCTCCACTTCTGCAAGTCTCAAGTTCTCTTGTGCCCTAATTTCTTCCTCTGCAGGCTGTGCTCTCCTGCTCTCGACGCTCTTTCCTCAAGCACTTTCCGAAAACCATTCTCTACCACAACCATGAGTAAGTCTCTTGCACTTTGACTTTGTATTTGCGTGTGTTTATTTTGTTAATTTTTGGTTTCCACTGTTTCTCTTCCAACACTTCCTTATTTCACCTGTGAAGAGGTGCTCTTCTTTTTGCCTTCCTAACCCCTAACCTCTCTCCTTTTCCTTTTGATCTTCCTCCCTTTTACTTTTCAGATTTCGCTGCTTCTAACGACCAGAGTCACCACTCCGACGAAGAAGCGACTGCCACGTCGTCATCCCCAATTCGTCG